CCTAGTGTTATTGAACCAAGCCGTGAAAAATTAACCTGCAAAGATGTGGATCGAACGAATCGTAGTGGGTAGTGACACATGTGTGTTGTTTCAACACTGCTCAAGCCAACTAGACACAGATAAAAAAATTAACTTTTTTTATAAAATGCCTACTAGAAGTAAAGTATTCTGATAAAATATACAAATTCAAAGAACAATTAAGAAGTAAACATTGGGAGCCAATTCAAAAACTTTACAAATGAGTCCTAGTCAGTTAAATTGCCTCCTTAAGCCAACTCTGTAACAATGGCAATGAAGCTGTCAAAACTGCCAAAGTGACAGGGTCGAGTAACAACTGATGGGGTGGACTTGCAGGCCGTGAGGTAGAGGTAGGCGTTGACCATGGCTGCGGGTACCATGCGAGCGAGGACGCTGACGGCACCCACAATGGTGGAGGAGATGATGCAGAGGAAGACGACGATCACACAGGCGATCAAGTTGTTCTGCATCCCTACAACACACGCAAATATGCATCATGTCAACGCAGTCGCAGATTGTAGTTCCCAAAAGAGCCTTTTAGTTGTTCCTCAGTGATAGTCAGCATTAAAAATAGGCATTAAGACTTACCCTAATAGGTATGCTCAAGGGATTAATGCTTCATTTGTAGTGAAATTAGAATGACGTTTCAAAAGTGATGACTTCTAAGCTACTTTCTTCTTAAAGAGTATTTGTTCTGTGTTTTCTCACGGACGTCTGCGCGCAAAGTGACGAATGTGTTGTTACGCTGCATCAAGCGGCCAGCTGCGTCACCGATGGGAAGTACTTCCATTCGACGATGAGCAATTCCTACGCCCCACTTCCCTCAGTCCTGCGGTCCCCAATGCCTTGATAGAGCCGAAATATGACATCGGCAATAAGAGAGGAAGTTGCAAAAATGGCAAATTATTTTTCCCAAGTTCTGCCTCGTGTATTATGAAAGCAGAGGAAGGGGAGTGCATCAACAGAATCAAGCAATTTGGCAAGAAGCAACTCTTCCGCTCTCGTTTGTATTCCTCCACTTCCAAATGGATAGAGAGATGCATTCACTGACTCTGTGTCCTGCCTTCCTTTGAACCCACCAAATGTGGTAACAAAAAATTAGACGCTCGAGGAAATTGAGGTGATGTGGTGGCATTACATTTGTACGCCATCCACTAAGATCTCCCTCGCTGTGGTTGGACGATAATTCGTCGTTTTCTTAGCCATCATTACTGGAAAATCAGAAGATGGACTCAGCAACGGCATTAATCATGAACAGTCTTAGAACAATAGGGGGAAAGGAAAATCGCATAAATATGAGGAACTAAGGGGATAGAATGGACATTTTTGGGGCTTAGACATCATCAGCAACAAGAAGGGAAGAACAAAAGTCTTCGCCTTGCTCA